GTTTTCACTCTTTCACCCAGACTGGAGTGCAAGTGGTGCAATCTCGGCTCACGGCAACCTCCACCTCCCAGATTCAAGCAATTCTCTTGCCTCAGCCTCCCTAGTAGCTGGGATTATAGGCATGCACCACCATGCCTGGCTAATTTTTGTATTTTTAGTAGAGTCGGGGTTTCACCATGTTGGCCAGGCTGGTCTTGAACTCTTGACCTCAAGTGATCTGCCCATCTTGGCCTCCCAAAGTGCTGGGATTACAGACATGAGCCACCGCGTTGGACCTGGTATTTGATTTTCTGATTCTGAGTTGTTTCACTTAGGGGAATGCCCCAGCTCCATCTGAGAAGGACATGATTTCATTCTTTTTTTTTACGGCTGTGTAGTATTCCATGGTGTACATGTACCATATTTTCTTTATCCAGTCATCCATTGATGGACACCCAGGCTAATTCTCTGACTTTGCTATTGCATACTCTTAGAAGTCTGTCATAGCTGATTTTTCCCACATTGCAATGTATGGTGGGTATTGTCCCATGTCACTAAATATTTTCTTGTATCATGATTTCTAGTGACTGGATAACGTCCCTCATATGGCTGTGTCCTGATGCTATGTCTGGTCTCCTGCCTATGTCACCTACTGGTGAGCCTTTAGAATGTTTCCAGGAAACTGTTACAAGACAGCTGGATTATCTCCTTAGGACAAATTCCCCAGAAGTGAAATTGCTAGAGCAGCAGATTTTGATACATGCTGCCGGATTCTAGCCCAGAATGGATGTAGCTTGCTTGGTCACAAACTCTTGGCCAGGGTTTCTTGGGAGGCAGCTGCCATCACAGGGAAGAGCTCACACTTGCAGGGGCACAGGCCTTGATTTCAGGGTCGGATCTTCCACTTACTGCCACAGTCATCTCAGACTGGTGGCTCAGCTGCTCAGAGCCTCTATTTCCCCACCTGCAAAAAAAAAAAAAAAAAAAAGATGGACCATTTAACTCATAGCTGGTTGTGAGCTTTAAATGAGACCTGGGATGTGCTTAATAAATATTCATTTCCTTTCCTTTGAATGAAATGAGCTCAGGGCCTAAGGAGGTCCTGCCACAAAGTCCTTAGATGTTCTTGCACAAGATATTTTAATAAATGCATATGGGTGTTATTGACCTTTTCATTTGGTTCTCTGATATCTCAGGGAATGTATGGCTTGGCCACAGCAAAGGAGGGCAAAGAAAGAAAACTCCTGAGATTTTCCGCTCCTTAAATTTGAGCAGAAAGTTAACATGTGTGCACCGTGCTGTGGAGAGCATGCTGGGAGGTGGTGGAGGGCCAGTGAGAGGCGTCAAGGCCTGCAGGTGTCTTGCTACCCCTGCTCTTCAGCGCATCTCTCGGTCCCTGCGAATTCACACGATGTGACACTGCCTGCCCTCGGGAGGTTTGTCTCACTGTGGAGTGGTATCTCGTTGGAACATTGGGCCACTCTGTGCTGGGCATGTCCTGCGTGCTGGCCTTCCACGGGGACAGAGTTCTGAAGAGGCTCCTGAGGGCACCCGGCTGCTGACAGAGGGCAGGTCACAGGAGAAAGCCAGCAGCAGAGGCAGGCTACATGCGCAGCCCACCGAGTGGGGTGGAATTGCCAGTGTGGGCCCTGTGGGATTTGGCCAGCTCGTGCTACTGGGCAGAGAGCGCTGCTGGCTAGGACAGTCCTTAGAGACCTCAGTCCTGGGGCCCAGTCCCTGTCCCTTCAATAATCCATTCTGCTGCATGGGCCCCTGCACCACCCCCTAGGAGACAGGGGACTCTCCACCAGGTAGTTGGCCCTCTCCCTGGGAGAAGGTCAAGTTGTTGGCAGGAACACAGTGGGCTGCAAACTCTAATTGCATAAAGGGCAAATGTATATAAACTACCTTCAGCACACTTGGTGGTTTTTTTTTTTTTTTTTGAGATGGAGTTTCACTCTTGTTGCCCAGGCTGGAGTGCAATGGTGAGATCTCGGCTCACTGCTTCCTCCATCTCCCGGGTTCAAGCGATTCTCCTGCCTCAGCCTCCTGAGTAGTTGGGATTACAGGCACCCACCACCACACCCAGTTAATTTTTTGTATTTTTAATAGAGACAGGGTTTCACTATGTTGGCCAGTCTGGTCTTGAACTCCTGACCTCAGGTGATCCACCCTCCTCGGCCTCCCAAAATGCTGGGTTTACAGGTGTGAGCCACTGCACCTGGCCAACACTCGGGGATTATCATCCAAGCTCTCCTCTGAACTCACTACTTTCTTCTGTCATATTAAATGTATTTCTTGTGCTTTATTATTTAAATTGTAGGCCGTTTGAGTAGAATTCTGTATACAGTTGCATTTTGGAAAACAGAAAAGCAAGCTAGGACTTTTTCGGAAGCACCTTCAGAAGTCTCCCTTGCTGCTGCCTGTTCCTGAGTTTTAGCAATGTAAAATCACACCTGCCACCCGGAGCCCTCTGTCAACACTCCAGATATTGCCTGGAAACTGCTGACTGTACCAGTTGCAGTTGGCAGCCATCAGACTTGGGAGGACCTTGAGTCAGGTGGCATTGTGATGTTGGTTGCAGGAGTCTATTATTTTGAAGTGGCAGCTGCAGGTAATCAGAGAGGAGCCACCAGGGCAAGTGGCTTTGTCATGTGGGGCGGCTGGGGAGCCAGCTGGGCAGGTTCAGTAGGTGATTTCTTTTGGGAGGGTGTGGCCCCTGCACCTGCCAGGTGTGGGCTCCAGCGGGGAGGGCTGGAAATCCCATCAGTGCCACAATGAGTGGGGCAAGCAGGTCCCCCCAGGAAAGCAGGTCACAAAACATATCAAGGACCCAAGGTAATACGATGGGCCCTTAAGGAAAAGTAAAAAGAAAACTCAAACTGGGGAGCAAATGTGCAGGGCAGAGATGAATATGCCTCCCACAGGGTCCCTCACATTGAGATAGTAAGTGGACATCAAGGTGAGGCAGGAGGGGCCGTGTAGTTTTGGTGCTGGAATGATAGAGGTGAGCCCTGGGTCTGGGTGTGTCTGGCTCAGAAGCTGTTTTGGATTTTCTCAGCATTCTTCTTTCTTCCTGGGCCCTGCCCTTCCTCAGATGGGGAATGCAGCCTCACCTGCCATAGCCCTTTGCCTGCTTCCATGGTGAGCGCAATCAACAAAGCCCCAGCAACTCGGTAGGGACGCCAATCACAGGGAGGCAAGTCCAACTCCCTGCAGAGCCAGGCCACCCCCATCCTGGCCTTCAGGGATTGGAGCAGAAGGCGGAAGTGCATGCGTTTCTTGGACTGCCTCTTCTGCCGTGTGCCTGTATGCCCGCCCAAGGAGCTCACAGGGCAAAAGAGGGCTGGGCTTGGCAGAAGCCCCACTTCCTTTTGGCCCATGGGTGCTTCTGTGGGAGATGGGGACAAGAGCTCGCGATCAGCAACCAGTGGTGATCAGCAACCTGTGGGCCCTAGGCCACTCAGACAACAGGGAGGCCCACTCTTCTCCTTGCTGCTAGCTTCCAGGAGGATGAGAGAGCCGGAGGCTCACAGCACGCTCAGGAGGATGGCTGCCTTTTACCAGTGCATCAGGCCTGACCCCAGGTGGGCCCTCTGAGAGCCAAGAGGTGGTGGGGGAGAGACTCGAGGGAGGGGAGGCCAGGCCGTGACTACCAGGGCATGGATGGCCACCATCCCCTGAGGCCTACGGATAACTTGCAGTGTCTGTTACCTTATGTTCTAGAATGTTTATGACCTTCCTTACAGAGTTTTTATCTCCTTGAGTTGTGTAAATTCTGGAGCAAAATAAGGATTTTCTTTGTTTCCTTCATGACACACACATATTCATAAAAAGAAAGGGAGAGGGAAAGAGGAGGAGGGCTGGGTGAGCAGAGTGTGTCATTCTTACCATCCCATGCTTGCAGTTGGGATCTCCATAACGTTGTTGATTGCACTCACCATGGAAGCAGGCAAAGGGCTGCTTTGAGTGGAGAGAAGGCAGCCGAGGTCAAAGTTTATGGATGTCATAATTATGCCACTACCTAAAGCTCAGCACCAAAGGACTTGTGCTCACCTGATAGCCACAGCCTTGGGAGACGCTCTGCCTGAGCTCCTGCACAGCAAAAGCCAGGGGCCCTGCCCAGAGTCATCTTGTCCTGCTGTCGGTGACCTTATGCCTGGAAGGTGTTTGGCTCAGTGCATTTTGACTCTGTGCACAGTGGTGGAGAGGGAAGTAGAGCTATGGCTTGATTAAAGTTCATTTGCTTAGCATAAATAAACAGATTTGTGTTTCACATGGAAAATTCCCAGTAGGGCAGTTTCTGTCTGTACAGGTGATTGTTAAATCTGTGCATCACTTGAGCTGGGTGGACAGTCTTGGGAAATGGATGTTGCTTCTTTGGAAAGCCCACCCACTGCCTGGCAGCAGGGGTTACGGGTGCTTGGGGAGTTGGGGCACACAGTCCATCCTCAAAGCCTCACTTTCTTTTTTTTTCTAACAGCCTGATTTTGATTTCATTTTTTGTTTCTAAAAAATGCTTTCTCTGAGAGATTAAAAACCCTTTGAAGATATTTTTTTAAACTATACTTTAAGTTCTGGGGTACATTTGCAGAAAGTGCAGGTTCGTTACATAGGTATACATATGCCATGGTGGCTTGCGGCGTCCATCCCCCCCATCATCTACATTAGGTATTTCTCCTAATGTTAGCCCTCCCCAATTCCCCCACCCCCGCCATCCCTCCCCTAGCTCCCCCACCCCCGACAGGCCCTGGTGTGTGATGCTTCCCTCCCTGTGTCCATATGTTCTCATTGTTCAGCACCCACGGGAGTAAAAACATGCGGTGTTTAGTTTTCTGTTCTTGTGTCAGTTTGCTGAGAGTGATGGTTTCCAGCTTCATCCATGTCCCTGCAAAGGACATGAACTCATCCTTTTTATGGCTGTATAGTATTCCATGGTGTATATGTAACACTTTTTCTTTATCCAGTCTATCATTGATGGACACTTGGGTTGATTTCAAATCTTTACTATTGTAAACAGTGCTGCAATAAACATATGTGTACATGTGTCTTTATAAATGAATATTTTATAATTTTGGGGTATATACCCGGTAATGGTATTGCTGGGTCAAAAGGTATCTCTAGTTCTAGATCCTTGAGGAATCACCACATTGTCTTCCACAATGGTTGAACTTTGTTACAAAGGAGTAGTAACCCAACAACTCAGGGATTCCTTGTGAAGACAGGACCTGTACTGGGTAAAGCCCTGTGCATGTAAATAGTCATCATTGTTACTGTTTCGTAAAAATCTTTTTATTAATAATGAAACCTCAGTGCCTGATTCCACCCCATTTTGTATGGGCCACGATAGAGTGGTGATGTTATGTCTTGGTAATAGGCTTTTGAGCATTATTTCCTACTGAAAAAACAAAAACAAAAACAAACTCAGCTCCGCATCTGCTATGCTGCAGAAATGTCAGTCATAACTGTAGCATTCCAGGTAAATTAAGCATTATTTGGGGGATATATGCATAGAAAAAAATGGAGTATATTACCTCATTAAACTCCTGAAGTTAAAAATAACCCAGCCCTTGTAAAACTGTGCCCAGGGCTTCGGTGTTCTGTTTGTCACATATGTGTGCTGCAGTCAGCACAAGTTATAGCTCTCACTCAGAGACTAAACGTTGCCAAGTTAGATGGCCTCTTTGCAAGACACTCCCCAGTGTTAGAATGAATTTATATTGTATCTTCTCAAGAATTATGCAAATAGAATTTCTAAAATAAGGTTATGAATTCTGATGCTTAGCTATTTCTGAAATATGGTTTTGTAAAACTCTCTGATAGTTTTTTTTACTCTAATAACCTGAAAATGTCTAACTAATGTTTTTCAAATCTCATATGAAAACATTCAGCTCTGGATGCATGAAAACAGGTTGCTCTTATGAAAGCTGTCATGCATTGCAGTCTAAGACATGGCTTGTATTCAGTGTTCGTGCAGGCTTAGGTGACTCATGTGAACATAGGCCCGTGTGTGAATATATATGAGCTTACACTGTGTTGTATAGCTGTATGCATGCCTAGCTAAGTTACTTAATTTGTCCATTTATAGGGACTCTGAATACCACTAAATCAACTGTTATGTAGGTAGTTTCTAAAAAACAATGTAGTTTACATAAGATACTATTTATATGCTTATAAGCTATGCTGTTTATCTCATGGCTGACTGAGTGTTGGAATGAAGCTATAGTATTTCCTTGCAAAGACGCAGCCCAGCAGGTTGTGGCCCGCCATTCTCTCCAGATGCCCTCACTGTCCCTGCCCTGCCCATGGCCAAGGGGAAGCGTGGGGAAGTAAACCAGACCTCTAAGCAGGGACCTCCTCTGCTTCTATATTCCTTTACTCCTAAACCGAGGGGTCTGCAAAGCCCAGCAGACTTCAGCTCTGTGTGGCTATAGGATAGGTGATGTTTAAAGAAAGACACTAGGCAAGAAGAACTCAGGCTAAAGAAATGTGACAATGTCTAGCTGAGTCATAGATTTTGGAGGAAGTCTGTCCTTGAGGCATTATTAATGTGCTGGTTGATCACTAAGAAGTGATTCTTTCTGCCAGGCACGGTGGCTCACACCTGCAATCCCGGCACTTTGGGAGGCCGAAGCAGGGGATCACCTGAGGTCAGGAGTTTGAGACCAGCCTGGCCAACATGGTAAAAACCAGTCTAATAAAAAAAAAAAAAAAAAAAAAAAAAAAAAAAAAATTATCCAGACATAGTGGTGCATGCCTGTAATCCCAGATACATGGGAGCTGAGGCAGCAGAATCACTTGAACCCAGGAGGAGGAGGAGGTTGCAGTGAGCCGAGATCGCACCATCACACTCTAGCCTGGGCAACGAGAGTGAAACTCTGTCAAAAAAAAAAAAAAAAAAGGAAGTGATTCCTTCATCTAGCAGGATTTAGCAGGTGTTACTGATAAGTGCCTCTGGGTCATTTGCTCATTCATTCATTTAACAGTATTTATTGAGCACTGCCATATAGCCGTTCCATGCTGGTGACATGTTATCTCTCCTCATGGAGTTAGTCTTCTGGTTTTACCTACTTAGCAAGAAAGGGGCTTTCTCTAGGCCAAGCCTTACTTTAGCTTTTAAAAAGCAGATAAACATTAACTACAGGATGATAAGAGACTTCAAATCTGACCAGCCAAGTTCCTTTACTTGCCCTTCTTGCTTTACTTAGAGCTCTGTCACTTAGCATCTGAATACCCTCTGGTTTCTGCCCTTTGATTATGAGAATTCTTTGCTTGCTTTTCTCTCATATGTCAGAGTAGATCTGTTTCTTTGTCCTCGCTGTCCTTTCTGACAGGTGGACAGAGAAAGTTTTGCACACAAGTAGGTGACAGCTTCAAAGGGCAGGAGGTGGGAGGAGAGGCTGAGGCTGGTGGATCACCTGAGGTCAGTGGCAGTTACCTGTAATCCCAGCTACTTGGGAGGCTGAGGCAGGAGAATTACTTGAACCCACGAGGCGGAGGTTGAGGTGAGCTGAGGTCATACTATTACACTCCAGCCTGGGCAGCAAGAGAGAAACTCTATCTCAAAAAAAGAGCAGGAAGTCCTCTGACACCTTCAGAGAGGAAGAGTTAGCTGCAGTGAGTGAGGTCCAGTCTTGATGCCCTGTGTCTATGGGGTGGGTACAGCTGTCAAGTCCCTCTGCTTTTGAGAAAAATAATATCATTAAGCAGCAAGCTGGCACAATTTTTTAACAGAGATTTCTCACAGGAACTTTGCAAGCATTTCACATTCCATTTGCTTCAGTAATGTGAAACTTATTTTTCTAAAAAAAGGTACAGGCAGATCTTGGCGTGACTCACTAGAGAACAATAGTTAAGTCATAATTTATTTTCATCTTTTTCCCCAGGAAAAGGAAAAATTGACTAAATGTATAGGGAATGTAACCAGGCATGAATCTGTAAAGGGGAAATGGATCAGAGAATCACACACACATGTATATGTATAAAATGGGTAAGTTTTGTCAACAAAAAATACAGGGGCTCCCACAATATGTCACGGGAGGTCTTGACACATTTTGAAGGGACAGATTGATCTTCCTGGGGAAGCAGAAAGAAAGCTGACATCTGAAGGATGAGTAGGAGTAAGACCAAAGTGGAGTGTGAAGGCAGGGAACATCAAGTTCAAGCAGAGGGAACAACATCTGCAAAGGCCCTGGGCTGGAAGGAAATGGAGTGCAGTTGGTGGAGGGAGAGCAGGACTGAGGCACGCGTTCTGCCGGTGTGCACGGGGCTTGGGTTGGAGTCCAACCCATCTCCTCCTCTTGTTGATGTTTGTATCTACCCACATTTGTGCTGTCTCTATTCCTGCCCCCATCTCCAGACTTCTCCACGAGATTGCATCCCTCTTCCTGTAATAGTTGTTTCAGTGTGAGTTTGCTGGAAGCAAATTGTATCAGCTTTTCTTTTCTGAAAATGTCTTTATTTCATCCTTTTCAGCAGCTTTGTTGACTTATCATTTACATATCATAAAGTTTACCTGTTTAATGTGTATAATCTGGCCAGGTGAGGTGGCTCATGCCTATAATCACAGGAGATCACCTGAAGTCAG